ATATGTATGTGAGTATGCGTTGTACGTGAAGATAACGAAATTGAACAATTGTTTTTCAGAGGCTCGTAACGATGTGTGGCTTGGCAGTGGTGGAAGCGATCTCGGACAGTCGTACGTCAATGGGAATGCGATCGTCATAAAGCGTTGGTGCCTGTAGAATAATTCCTGCCGTACCGACGACTACGGCTAATGTAAAAATCCAGAGGAATAGCCTGTCAAGCACCATCGCGACGTATTTCCAATCTTCCTTGACCTAAAAAATTAATATGATTAAATTGATTAAATAAATAATTTCAAGATTATTATAATATTTAATTAAGAAAATTTTTAAATAATTTATTCTAAACATTTTAATTCGAATACGTTATTATTTTGCAAAATCAAAAATAAAGATTCGCATACTCTGGTAGAGTCCTCTTCTCTTTTCGTATGATCAGCAATGAAACGAATGCCTTCGATAGCTTTATATATTTCTGGGCAGTGATGCCAATGATGAAGAGTGTTACAGAGAGCGTCCACGCTCTCCTCGGTCGGCAGTTGCGGTGGAGGAGCAGCCGTGGTCGCTGGTGAACCGTGAATGCGACATGCACTTCCTAAATTCACAGCTTCTAATTCCCTAATAGGAAATAGTTTTTTTCAGATAGATACAGATCATAAGTTTTTCTTTTTAAAGATTAAAATATTATAAGAAATATTTCTTTTTGTACAAATATTCTCTACACAAGATTAACAAACATTTGAAAAAGAAGATAAAATTAAACATATAAAAATTCCATTTCTGGATCTTTTTAAGGATTGTATGAATTTAATAAATATCGATATAAAATGATTATTAGTCATTAAAATTTTTACATACCGAGGGTGTAATTCGTCCCGCGAATCGAGACTCGGGAACAAAACGGAAGATTCAACCAGCTCCGAGGCTGAAGTCTCTACAAAAAGTGACGGATCCCGCAATTCGAGACCATTGCACGTTCTGACCATTACTCGTTGACCATGATGGCTACCCATGCTACGTTTATCTATCTGGTATTGCGGCCTATCGATAAAAGATACAATTACCATCAAGATTTTTGTTTAAATAATTTAAATAAAATATGTAATTATTTTTCTCAATTTTGATTTTTAAATAGTATTATCTATTTTACATTAGTTATTTATCTATTCTACATTAATATTAAAAAATAGTTATTGTACAATTTCTAATAGTTAATTTTCTAAGAATTTATACAATAATTTTTCTATAATTTCATATAATTTATTTAAGCATATTCACTGATAGGAGCTATTGATAAGTCTCTTCTAATTTTTGCATATTTGCTAATAATTGATATACATATACATATATATTAATTTTTATGAAATTATGATTCTAACTACTATTACATTACTGAAATGATATTTCATTTGCACAAGTGATATGACTGTAATAATAAGCCAATGGTATCAAGCGTGTCGATAAATGTTAATAATCAATTGTACTGAGAATATTACGTTGCAAATAGTGTAAAATTTCAACAATGTGCTGTATGCGACGTAATGCTAAATTGTGCATAATTTTATATAAAATTATAAATACAAATACTGTCGAATTATCGTGTTAATATTTACAGTGACTAATTTACAGTGCAGGATTTCAAATCATTTAAAGAGGATAAATAATGGATCTGAAAATTTTCAGTCCCTGCCCTTATGCAAATTTTTTCATCTCCTTATTATTAAGAATTTAGAATTATTAAAAGTTTTCGAATTTTAATATAGTACCTTTAACATTCCAATTTCCTTTTTCCTTGTTGATGTTATATTTTCCATATCAAACAAATTTCAATATTGTTATTGTGTTGTGTTGGAAAATTGGATTAATTTCAATTTGATGGACAGAGAAAGACAAATAGAAATAAGAGAGAGAGAGAGAGAGAGAGAGAGAGAGAGAGAGAGAGAGAGAGAGAGG